ATCGGGAGCTTAGAACTTGTCTCAGTTCGAGAGGTTCTCTGCTGGTGGGAGATACCTGGTTGGGGAAAGTCCCCACACGTCGATGTAGGTCAGCGCCGGATATCGTCAGTTAGCAAAGGAAGAACACCGCCACCTCCCGCGATAAAAAACATAAACTACACTTACGGGATGAATCACCTTAATAGATGACGCGCCCGGAATCATTAATCAATCAGTTATTGAGCCACTGCGTATAATAATCTAAATCATTCATGGGTAATACAAAATTCATGGGTAAACACAACAACAATTCATTCATTCATTCATAGTTTCATTAGCGCTCATGGAATGCGTGTACAGTAAAATGTTATTACATAAAGTGCAGAAATAGTTGCTGGGAGTTTTTCTCGATAGATGTGACGATTAGCAGATCGGTCGATGGCTGAAGCATGGGTGGTAGGACGAGGCGGCTGCTGGCAGTGTATGGAGCTGCCATCTGGCGAGCACCCGTGGAACTACTTGTCCTCCGTTTTAGTCGTTCACGGAATAAGGAGAAAAGCGGGTTTCAGCAGTGTAGCCAATTCACACCCTGGCTACATGATACGTTAAAAGCGTAGAGAGTGTGGGAATTTTTAAATTGGCTAGATAGAGAGCGATTATGTTCTAATTGTACAAAAGCCGTGGCAATATTTTAAATATGCCTGCTGCGATAACTTCCATTCGAGTTCGCAAGCGAAGCTTCGGTGACATCCAGGCCTAAAGTCCTAATCTCGTAGGTGGCAGAATTTTGAATGTTGATAGATTTTCTTATCTGGAAGTCAAAACCCCACAGAAATAAGTAAGTGAAATGGATCGAACATGAGCCATGTTGTTATAAAGAAGCAATTTGCTGGTGAAACATTTCCGTCATTCACTGCTCCGATACCAAATAGTAAAAGTCGAATTAGTAAGATACAATAATAGTAGCGGTAACGTTACATTTAGGATACACATGAGTATGTATATTTTGTCTTTCACTTTCCAACGTTAATGAATAACACAAAGCATAATAATATACCAGGAGAGGTGGCTCAGGGCATCAGGGATGTTCATGCAGTGCCTCTAACTGGGAGATTGCTATAGGATTAAGTCCCGTCGGTGGCAGGATCGACACTGGCTAGAGAGCAAGGGCGAATTCAGTCGCTGTTAGCGGCCGGCTGCTCTGATCGGTAGTTTTGCATGGTTTTTCCTATCAATAACAGACGATTGCCGGAGCAGTTCTCTTACAAACGGGCCACACCCCACGCAGTCTTTCCTTCCTCTTCCTTGTCCTATCCTCACCCCTTACACACACACACACACACACACGCACGCACAACACCACTGCACTTGTCGGGAGACCAGTCGGGGCGGTGGCCCGCTAGTGGGAGATACCTGGTTGGGAAAAAGCCCGCTAGCTGACAGGTTGCTCGGCGCCGGATATCAGAATCAAGAGGGAAAAACAACTGTCCCCTGCTGCTATAAATACATTCACTACACTTACGAAATTAGTGACCTCAGAAGTTGACGCGACCGAAATCACCAAACGATGAATCAATCAAATCAATTCTGTCGATATTGTGGGTTTGAGTGGGTAGCAAGATGTGTATTGGAAGGAAGGAAGGATCTATGATGTTTTCTCTCTGGTACGCCTGTCTCTTACGAGACTCTTCGTCCAGTTTTTGCTTCTTCCAGTTGTTTGTTTTCGCGTTGCGACGCCTCTCCCCGTACAGGGACGGGGATTGGGAGTCGGGGAGAGAGAGAAATGTAGGGTAATTTTTGTTAAGGGGTTTTGGTAGTAGGGGAAGGGGAGGGGAATGGATTAAGGAGAGGAGTGGGATGGGGAATAGGAAGGGTTGGGAAGAAGTATGTGTCATCTTTGTTCCGTCGTGGGTCAGTGTTTAGTCCGTGGTTTTTCGTCGTTTGTCGGTTATTCTATGTCCACCCTTTGGCCTAGGTAATGGGAGGGGGGAGTTGCAGGGATCAAGGGGGTGTTTTTTCCGTGTATGTCTGGGGGATTACGGAGGATATGGTGGTGGGGCATGATTATATTTCTGGGGATTGGGATTATATTCATGAATTGGGGATCGGTAATGAACTTTCGTATGGTTTGGACTGAGGAATTATAGAGGTATGTGAGGCATATTGTGTAATTCTCATAAGTTATTAAAACGGGTTAGTGGAGGGGGGGCGGATGATAAGGCGGATGACTCTGTTTTCTGTTACTGTAAGTTTTCTATAGTTTATTATGGAGGTATTGAACCATGTGGGATGGGCGTAGGACAGGGTTGGGCGGATGTAGGAGATATAGGCTTGGATTCTTTTTTGGATTGGGATAGACGGATTGGACAGGATAGGGTAAAGGGCGTTTGTGATACGGTTGGTTTTGATGGTAGTGTTAAGGACGTGGTAAGGACCAAAGGAGTCTGCGGGAGAGGGTGATGCCGAGGTATTTGACATGGGGTTGCCAGTGGATAGGAGTTTGGTTTATAGTCAGAGGGGGTGGGTTTGGAGGATAGGTTTTGTAGGAGAAAAGGATGGCTTGGGATTTGGAGGGGTTAATGGTAATGGAGTTTTGGGAGGTCCAGAGGTGGATTTTTGGACATTTCGTAGGGAGCGGGTGAGGTTACGGAAGGAAGCAAGGAATGCCAGATCATCGGCATAGAGGAATTTCTCTACTCCGGGAGTGGAAGGGATGTCGTTTATGTATAGGGAAAATAGGAGTGAGGAAAGCACGGCGCCCTGTGGGACGCCGGCTTGGATGGGGTGGTTGGGAGATTTTTTGGAGTAATATTGGACATAGAAGGATCTGAGGGTAAGGTAGCTTTGGAGTAGAGAGTGGATGTGGTCAGGGATATGAGGACGAATTTTTGCTAGGAGAATAGGGTGGGATATAGTGTCATAGGCTTGGGTGAGATCAGTAAGGATGGTAGGGATTTTGTTCCGGTCTTGGATAGGGTTAGGTTTAGTGTTTGGAGGTCCGCCAAGCAACCCTCACGGAAGCCGAATTGGGATTGGTCTAGGATTAGGTCAATGATAGGGGTTAGGCGGAGGAGAATCACTTTTTCAAATGTTTTGCTAAGAATGGAGAGGAGGCTAATGGGTCTCTAGTTGGTGGGTTGCCGATGATCTTTGCCAGGTTTGGGAATCATGTGTATTGGGGTTGACAGTTGCTTAACGAAATGAGTCCGGGGCTCCCTGCCAAACTTTTGTCCGGTCTCCCTTTATAAAAGGGTAGAGCAAACACAAACAGTGCTAGTATCTTAAATAATAAAAAAATGTCCTTTAACTAATGCGAATTCATCAGTGTATGATTATACATCGTAGTTTTCTTGTTGCAAAATAACAATAATTTCTCTATGCCATGTAAGTAGCATGCGAAAAAGTCAAATTTTCCCCTTCATTTGTACAATAAGATTTGACTGATCATTTTCAAAATTCCCACTTTCTGTAGCGTCATGACGTGTTATATGATCAGTAAGTTGGTCACATTGTGGAAGAACATTACGCCTTACTCCGAGATGCCCCGAGACGACGACTGAAATGGAAGACAAAGAGTTCCATTTGCGATCGCTAGATGGCAGCACCATATACTGCCGGCACTCGCCTCAGCATTTCAGTAGCATTTTGGACTACGTAAATTTGAGTCAAAATATTAATTCCGGTAAACATTTAGTACATTACCTATCAATTTCCAACAATACTCATTTGCCGAATACAGAAAATTGCCAAAGTTTTCTCGGTCGAATTATAAGGTGGCACAGTCAACAGAGCATTATAATATGTTCACTTTCTCGTGGTAATGATGAGACGAAAATGTAAATACCGAACAGTTTACTGCCAAAAGGAGATTCAAGTAGGTTCGAAAATACGCGGTATTTCTAAACCCTTTCACGGCCTCTATCGTTCACAGTTTCAAAACGCAACAGATTAATATGTCTACCGCATCTGACCTCTGAAGACAATCTTTACATTTATGCATTTAAACCAAAATGGGCATTTATTAGTGAAATAGACATTTGTAGGTTATAAAATTCGCATATAATACTCCTAATGCCTCAAAACCAATAAATATTCTAAAAGATTGCCTTTTCCATTGAAGGAATAAAATTGGCAAATAGACAAAAATTCGTTGCTTACTAATGACTGGACTGCAGATTTTTAGGTTTTAAAATATGCGTTTTAGGTTATTAAAATTGGTTAATTATATTCATTTCTCGCTATCTTACAGGGGACTAAAAATAGCATTCTTGTCTGTTGTGGCGACAGAAAAAAGGTTAAAAAAGCCACAGACAAAAAGAAATTAGAGAAATTAGTCTCAATTTAGATTTGTAAGAGTAAAAAAGGACAAATAGGCATTCATGTTGAAATATACACTATTAGACGCTATAAATTGACGGGTTTTAGTTTAAATAAACCTAAAATGTATAAATAAAACTTCACTTAGTTCAAGGTACCCAGGCAACAAATAGGTGCTTGAATAAATATCTGTGGTCTACTCATAACTGATATAAAACATTTCACTATCTCTATGATTTTTCAAAGTAATCAACGATTCCACAATTTTTATTTCAATGTAATTTTATAACCGTCAAATGTAGAAAGTAAGTACAGAAAAGGGTATTAGATTCTGCACATTATTCGGTGATACTAACATTATCAGGTGCTCTGTACGTTTCTTATACCCCATTATAATTAACGGTAGAGGGCGAATTTTACCATATTCGCATATTTTATTTCTCGCGACCAAACGATATGCGGGGAGGGAGGAGGAGAGCATAGTCGCTGGGCGAGACAATGATACAAATACCTCATGATGTATTTGGCCTTACGAAGCTAGGAAATTGTGGTTGGTGATTTAATATTCAAGACATTTTCGATGCACATTACGTCCTAAGAAACGTCACATAAAATGGGATTAATGGGAATAACAAATGAGTGCAAAGAAAATGTTTATGTGTATTTTCCTCTACTATAACAGTTTACATCTCAATTTAATCAAACTGCAGTTACAATCAATTACATTTGCGTGATTTTATTTATTTATTTACTATTTATAAGTTATATATGTGCTCACAGACATAAACAACATTTTATGTGTGATGTGCACCATAAATATTTATGTAGATTATGTACTGTATTTTACTTCATTTTTTGGAGTTCGAACACTTAGTCACCAATAAGAAGTCTCTGAAACAGAAGAGAAACATGTCATTAAATGTTGTTGAATTTTAATTATTGGCTAATATTGTCATTTAAATATGCTTCCTACAATCCTCAAAATCAGGAACGAAATCTTCAGAATTCACAGTCTCAAAACGAATTTGAAGAGTTTTTGTATTGGATTGTTTTTCAAATAGTGCATAGTGGTAAATTTGTTATTTACATAATTTCTAAAGGTATTAATGAGTTTTCGTATGTAACAAAATAAATTATCCAAATTAATTGTTTGAATTCATTTTTTTGTATTTTGAAACATAAGAAAATATGTGCTTTGCTTTGTGAGACACTGAGAGCGGAAAGGTTGAGAACCAACAATCCAGTATGGCAAGCCTTAACACGACTTCAAATACTCCCCCCCCCCTTTACCGTCTTTGACAACACTGTCAGGTGTTACCCAATCAGGTGACCCAATGGTTATCTACGTCTTTTTCGAACGAAAGAAATAATGACTTTTAAAAAGGTCCATCTGGATTGCAACTGTGTTGAGATAATACAAACATTCAAAATACAATTCACCATTATTTTACTGGCAGCAGTAGTGACAGTAGATTAAAGGAGTAATATTAAATTTAATTTTGATAGCAACCAAAGTGAAGTGCAAAGTAATTGTGTCGTTTGTATCGAAATAACTAATGGAAACAAACACAAATGCTTCTCGTAACGTATAATCTTGCAGTGTAGATGAGTGGAGAGACAAGGTATATGGCAGAGGAAAATATGCACAAAATATTCATTTATAGATAATTAGATATTAATTATAACTAATTTAACAACATTTAATTGAAAACATCTTTACAACCGAGCATCAGCTCAAAGCAAACTTTAATAAATGAAAGGCTCGGTACAACTAGGGGCTACCCCACAAATGATTATGAAATTGAGTTATTAGCATTAAACATAACTTCAAATATTATTTTAGTGTATTACTTTATTTAAATACAGTTTGTATCGATATGCAAGTGTACTGTGTTTAAATGTTTAAAATGTACTGAGGTATATTATAAAAGTTCTAGTAAAACTCTCAATATCTCAGAAGTTTGTCAGTTGGATTGACACTTGTTCTACTGAGGTCTTAAAATCTGTATGTGATGAGGAAGGGTTGAGAGATTTCGTAATTTTAGCTATTACGCACTTTCAATTCCCACAAATCCCACAAATGATTATGAAATTGAGTTATTAGCATTAAACATAACTTCAAATATTATTTTAGTGTATTTTTAGTTTTATTTAAATCCAGTATGTACCGATATGCAAGTGTACTGTGTTTAAATGTTTAAAATGTACTGAGGTATATTATAAAAGTTCTAGTAAAACTCTCAATATCTCAGAAGTTTGTCAGTTGGATTGACACTTGTTCTACTGAGGTCTTAAAATCTGTATGTGATATGGAAGGGTTGAGAGATTTCGTAATTTTCGTTATTACGCACTTTCAATTCTAGGGAGAGTTATTAGGAGGTAAATAATTACACTATATACAATTACTAGCTAGGTTTTGTGCAGACATTCCGCACTACTTTGTTTTAAAATTAAAAGAGTTTCATTGATCTCAACCTCGACAGGCTACGCCTTGAATTGAGCGTCGCATAATAAACGAATAGGTCCTCTGCTATAGGTGGGTAACCATTCTAGTGATGACATACGTATGTTAGAAAATAGAACAGTTCAGTCAACGAATATCACGGTCAAATTGTAAATTTAATTTTACACGAATTTCGAGATTTCATTTCTGTGTTGTGACATAGGGGTATTAAAAATATTGATACCTCCCAACATATAATGGAATTTCCAAAAAGATCTTTCATAGATTATGGACTGAAGTTCCCATCTTAAAGATTGGAATTTTAAGAATGAACAATAAACATGTGTGATGCGGGCTTGCACCCGCGCCTACGGCGAACGGTTCAAAAATAAAATTGGTTAATTTTAATAATTGCCTTTTCCGAATTAATCGAGACATGACAATTATCATAGAGTTAAAACCGTCAAAATTATCTTTAAAGTTATACTTTAAAGTGAAGCCTTAACATGTGTGTGTGTATAACTAATATGGAAGTGTTTAGATATTTCGTAATTTTAGTTATTACGTACTTTTGACACCACTAACCATTGAGCTCTAAATGGGCAATTAAGATCGGATATTTTAGAGAATTAATACTAACTACCTCTTCCCTACAAAAACTCAGCACTTCGTAAATAAATGGTTTTAAAAGTGAAAAAAGCATCAATAAATATTACTAACTTTGACCCCTAAACTTTGCGTTGCAAAATAGGTCAGGTACTGTGCGAGAAAGAACCACACTAATATTCCTAAGAGTTGATATTCAATTGCACAGAAAATCAAATTGCCCCTTTAATTTCATCGTGATAGATTATTTTTCGCTATTTTCCTTCAATTTAAATTTACATAATTTCGTGTTTCTGAACTTTTCCGATCATCCGGGCTGCAGGGTAGTGACACCTAAAATAACAAAGTCTTCAAAAAACTAATAGTTCAAAAAGTCTCATTTTGTAGAATAGAGCTCAAGCAACATAATTCTCGTCTCATCTGACCCAATACGACCGCCTGTCTCCCTTCATTTTTCCAAATGTCTCCCACATATTCCCATCTGATTTCTACTTGTTTTCCAACATTTGTTCATCGGATCACTCCGGACCTTGTGTCCTTGAGTAATTCACTTGTCCCCTTAAAACACGTGTTCTTTCAGCTGAACGAAAATCTGGTTTTGCGGACCTGACACCAATAGTTTTTGAGTAATTAACATTAACAATTGTAATGTGTGTTTGCAATAATCTCTTTTGTATATCATAACTTGCAAACTGAAATTTTTGTCGATTAGATACAGAAATGGAATTCAATTCCCTGTTCAAAAGTAGCACTCCTAAAGTTTTATCCAAATAATTTTTCATCAATTGCCCCAAATCGTCATCTGTCCGTAGCGCATTATATTTAGAAAGGATAATAATGCATAAAGAGTTCATTATTAATTAATAGAAGTCCGGATGGCAAGTCGTAACAACGGAAAACTGTCGTTTCAAGGAGGGGATTGTTGGCAACCCTACTCTGCCACTCTGTCAGGTTGGACAACTTGGGCAACCTATGAAAAAATCCTGTCTGATGCTTCGCCTAATCGCGCACCAAAATAATAACAATTAATCTACGCCATTTTTCGTGTTTCAGTTAAAATCTAGAAAAATGACACGAAATGTTGTTCGGGACACAAATAAAAAAGTGGTGATTCAAAAGACTTACACTTTAAAAGGGTGTAGCAGAGCACCGCTTGTGTACTAAACATGAGAGGAGGACGGCGATAAGGAAGGAAAGATCGCGTGTCGACAGTGTCCTACTAAAGACTCATCCACCCGAAGGCTGGTTACATCCTCAATGTGCCTCTACAGAGAAGCACTAATTATGAATTCTGAGCACTGGAGGAAATGAAATATTTTTCTGCTGTTTCTTCACCAGGCCCGAACGTGCTGGTGCACTCACTGGCCCTATAATTACCACAATTTTCAGCACCAGTGCCATTACTCAGCACCACCCAAAACCTCATCAGCCCCTCTACTGCCCGAAACCACTGGTGGTACAACATCCTACGTCATTGCAGCTACTGCGTGTTTTCAAACTCCCGCATTCAATCGATCCCCGGCCTATTTGCTTGGAAACTAAGCAGGTTGAGAAACTGAAGGCCCGTAAAAAGTATTTGAAAGAGTGAGAGAGTGATAGAATATCGATACCTGGCGCGTCAACAACTGAGTTCATTATTTCGTTAATAGTAATACATGTACCATCCTCAAAGGTTAGACTGTTCGGCACCAGAAGAATCATAAAATCCGGGGCCGACCTACACGCTGACATGTGAGGTTTTCCTCCTTCGGGTATCTCCCCCTGCGGGGAACCACCCCATCTGGTACAAGCTCTAAGCTGCCGTCTGATCCCCTCGATAGTGCACTGCGACCTCGATTGATTTTCGATAGCGCACTGCGTGTGCGCTTGTGTAAAGGGAGAAAGGACGAGGAAGAACAGATTACACGTTTCCTATCTCGAGGATAATTCTAGCGGCTGGGTGCTATGATCGGTAGTTTCCCGTGGTTTCCCCAATCACGCGAATGCCAGAGCAGTATCCTTACAAACGGGCCGCGAACCACACGCGATCTTTCCCATTCCTTGATCTAACCTCAACCCTTCCTTACACACACACTTACACTTACATGCGTTACAGTACCACACATGCTGAGATCTTGTCCCGGCTAGCGCGGAGCCCTGCTGATGGGAGATACCTGGTTAGGGAAAACCGAGATATTCGACGCGAAGGTAGGTCGGCGCCGGATCTCGCCATCCTGTGGGGGAAGATCACCGCCACTTCCCGAGGAAACATCATGCACTACACTAACGGGACTAATGTCCTTAGTGGTTGACGCACTCGAAAACACCAATCAATCAACCGGAAGGAGAGAATAGTAATTCACTGCGTTTAACTAATGTACTTGTAGGAGCATTGAAAATATTGTGTTTTTCTAAAATTTTATCAAGATATACTAGAGGGAATCGGATGAGATTTGTGGAAATTAACTTGTCTTTCAAGAGGAATCTAATGAGCTCAGATTGCATCTGTAGATGCCCTCAGTCACTCAGAAAGCGTTTTAGTTACTTGATCACAAATAAAATTCACGTTTTTAGGTAAATATCTTGGTAAAATCTCCTGGATGGATCCTCAAAACAATAATTCCCCACCAGTTGTCTCAGGCGCATCAAATAGCCCGTCATTTGTCTCGATCGGTGGAGTCGATGTGGTCTTCCCGACAGACGGTACGGATGCCGGAAACTCTTTGGGTAAGGATGCTAGACCTAGATTCACACTATGCCAAAACCAATTGATAGCTACTCACCAGAATACTCCAGAAGGGTGCTAATGCAGGTATATCAGAGAGAATCACGTCGATAATATCCTCGCACACGTCTTTGAAGAGCTGAGAGACGTTGACGTCTAAGAGCGAGTCGTCCGTGGTGGTCATGGAGTCGATGGCGTCCCGTTCGAGGCTTTTCGGGGCGGCCGCGCATGCGCAAACGAGGGCCAGGAAGGCGCCCATGGACAACACAACAGTCCGCATGGTGAATGAGATCGGCCGGTGGGAGACTTCGCTAGTCACACGGCTCGTCTACTTGAACGTCGCTTTATCGCACGGACATGGTTAGTCATTTTCGTCCTTGCGAGTGGGTTGCGATACGATCTTGTGCAACTGGACAATTGCTACGAAGAGGAATTGGGGGCACTATCTTGCGTGAATGTCCAAGGCTTCGACCAATTATGTATAACAAGGCTAAGTGATATGAAGTGGCCATCTACAGAAATTAGGGATATTCTTCCTTATACGTACTTGTTTTCAGGTAATTAATAGTTCGAATGGCTATATCGCGTAAGAAGTGACGCACGTTACACTTATAGGAAATCACTGTGACAATCGAATCTTATCCCATTGCCCAAATTCCGATACCTCGGGAACAGTGGCAATATTTTGAGTTTATCAGAATTTTCAGTATGTGCAATTAAGTATATCTTCTAGCGCTTTGTGTTACGTTTAAAACATAAAAACTTCTTTACATCTATAGGTATATTATATTAAATATTTACACAATCTCGTCTCGTAATTCATTCTGTTTTATTGATATGAATTTAAGAGTTGCACAAACATTGAATTATAGCTCTATTTCTTTGCATTTGTAGATTCTGAATTTTCGATCATTGGCGTCTTATTAATATTATTGCACAGTAATCAAAATTATGTACAATTATGGTTTTGTATATCTTGGAAAGCCAGTAATGTGGCCCAGTTCTGTTTAAAATAGCAATCTTATTTTTAAGTTTATGGACATTAAGGGGAGACATAAAGCAAAAATTAGACTTTTGGAAATTTTTGAGATTTTAACATGTTATAAATGTTTTGGTGTTTTATATGATAAATATATCTTTGGTAAAATACACTCGTTTAACATTTTTTTTTTAGCTTTTTTCTTCCCGCCTCTGAAATGTCAGAATGGAAGTTGTTTTGGTTACGCATCTCTCATTTACTTTAAAACCTTTGATCGAATCAATTTAGTTCTCATTCATTGCTAGGAAAAATACATAAAGAGACGGAGAAAGAGAAGTAAAAGAAAGCGGAGCAGGGGATAAAAAAATAAATAAGGTGGATTGATTAGTGATTCCGAGCGCGTCCAATGATGATTAGTTTCGTAAGTGTAGTGTATGTTTTATCGCGGGAAATGGCAGCAATCGTATCTCGCAGGATGGATAGATCCGGTACCGACATAACCGTCGGTTTGGATTTCCCCAGCCAGGTATCTCACTTCCAGGACACCGACTAGTCTCCCAAGTTGTGTGGAAAGTGTGGAGCATGTAGGCGAGTGTAAGTAAAAGAGTGAGAATACGAGCAGGAAGAGGACGGAAACGGCGCGCGCTGTCCCTGGCCCTTCTGTTAAGGTACTGCTCCGGCATTCACCTTGTGTTGATCGGAGAACCCACGGAAAACAACTGATAAGAACAGCCGGGCGATAGAATTCCCCTCCAGACAGCAGCTCTACCTCGCTAGCATCGAAAGCCCTGCTACCGTCGGGACACGAACTCTAGGACCTCTCAGTCAGAGGCCTCAATTATATGCCCTGCACTGCCTAAGCCGGTAACAAGAAGAGAAGAAGAAAATGAAGGAGGAGAAGAGAAAGAAGAAGAAGGAGGAGGAGGAGAAGAAGAAGAAGAAGAAGGAGAAGAAGAAGAAGAAGAAGAAGAAGGAGAAGGAGAAGGAGAAGAAGAAGATGAAGAAGACGAAGACGAAGAAGAAGACGAAGAAGACAAAGAAAAAGACAAAGAAAAAGACAAAGAAAAAGACAAAGAAAAAGACAAAGAAAAAGACAAAGAAGAAGACGAAGAAGAATGAGAATGAGAAGGAGAAGGAGAAGGAGAAGAAGGTGAAGGAGGAGGAGGAGAAGAAGAAGAAAATGTTTTGTAAAGATGCTGCGCTCACCGTGAGGAAGCGGACGATGGCGACAGAGATCATGTCAGCGATGGGAGGCACGGCCCCGGCGAACAGCTGCGACACGGCCTGCGCGATGGCCTGCGCCAGCAGCTCCATGTCGGGCGCCAACAGCTCCACGAGCGGCTGCTCCGTCTCGGCGCTCGGCTGCTGCGGTTGCAAGGGGTGCGGCGTGGCCGGCGTTACCTGTCAACACCCCCAGCTCTCACCCCCACCCCCGGCCACCCCCGGCCGGGAGGACCACGATCGACACTCACCACACTCCGATTTAATCCCAGTGTCACTGTTTAGTGTTTTTGAGCTTTCGATTGGGGGACAAAGTACCCTCCGCTCGCGACCTTGAAGTACCAGTATATTTAAATGGGAATACATGTTCCTTGTTCGAATCCAGCCGCTGTAGAGAGAATTGTAGAAGCTAGCTGTTCTGATTGATAGTTTCGTCTCGCTTCTCTGATTCTCTGATCTCTGATATCGGGCGAGTGATGAAGCAGTACTCTTAACTATGCTCGTTTTCCATGTTCATCGTTGTACCCCCTCTCCTCTCGGCACACACGCCTTATAACACACTTCTACGCATGTCTGCACGCCAGGAGCCGAGAGCTTGTTCCAAATTGAACGGGGCCTCAGTAGGGGAGATTCCTCGAGAGGGAAACCGACGTTAGCATCAGATCTTGCGTCTCAGAAGGGGAGGTACACGGCCATACCCCAGAATATATCTAACATTGCACTTATGGGGCTAATGGGTATATTTGTCGCAACCGGAAACAAAATAATCAATCAATGAAACAAACTAACAAAAGTTAGAATCTTTATGCCTCTCGGCCATCCTCATTAACAGCAGTACTCTCCATCTCCCTAGATCTCTCTCCCTCTCCCTCTCCCTCTCCCTCTCCCCCTCCCCCTCCCCCTCCCCCCTCTCTCCCTCTCTCCCTCTCTCTACCTCTCTCTCTACCTCTCTCTCTACCTCTCTCTCTACCTCTCTCTCTACCTCTCTCTCTCTCTCTCTCTCTCTCTCTCTCTCTCCTGATGAGAGCAGTCGGCCACAAGAATTCTCCTCCAGTCAGCGGATAAACTTGAGCTTGCTATGTAGCTAGCGTCGAAAATTTTCCACATGGGAACTCGAACCTTAGGACTTCTAGATCAGATATGCTTCATTGGCAACAGTTAACCCTAAGACTTAAGTGTAGAGGACGTTTTATCAGAGAATATAGCTTTAGACAACACGTAACACACCCAATAAACTTATTTTCGTTTCTACAAGTACTCTGCCAACAGAAGCGTCCAAGTCACAAACCATCTCTTTTCGAAGTCGTTCCGCAGCGTCACAGGGCGGGCGTACCTTATGTGTTGTCGTGTTGTGGGTAGCAGCGGCAGCAGCGGCGGGTAATGCACCCAGTGTTGCCAATAGCAGTGCCAAACCGAGCATTCCCGCGTGTGCCATCTCGTACCAAGAATTTCCGCCAGGCAGCGCGCTGCAACACAACATACGCCCTTGGAAGCTCATCTAGGTTGAGGTGTATGTTACACCTACTACCTCTACGAACACTATCCAGCATTCTCCATTTGCTTAAATAAATTGAAAAATTTATAAGAAAGAAGTTCAGAGATAAATTTTCCACATGAAACAATGGAATTATTGTCATCTATCTTCTTAGGTTCTCTAAAATCCATCTCTACGATTAGTTTGTTAATAATAGTTGAGGCTGTACTGTCACGCGAGTACGTAAAACCTTACGGACGCGATTTCTCTTTTCATTCGGCGTCAGTAGTCGAACAGCTTAACCACGCTTCGCGAGGTCTCGAGATCAAGCAGCTCGAGACATCGAGGGCCCCTGGATGGGTCACTGTCTGGGAACTCCGGATTTTAACGACGCCCAGCCTCTGGCCGGCAGGTAGTGACACCTTGACAAAATGACTACTGTAACGTACTGCAAACGGACCTCCCACCAAAGCAGGAAGTCGGGCGCCACGAGGGCCCCGGGTGGTGGATTAGGGCTTAGGCAGACGCCGTTGGGGTGTTGCAATTAGGCAGAGGCTGGAAAGACCGAAGCGAAAGGATAGAACATTCCGACTACAAGTTTTGAAAATTACTCCTAGTGACTACTTTGGATTTCAATTCAAAAAGTTGTTTGCATGGTCCCGCTTGTCTCAAAGAAATGTTTGAGAAATTTTAGCGTTTTAGGTCAAAAAGATACGATAATAACTGTTTGATCTCGTGCAGCGTCGTTGTAGAGTACAACTACTCCATTTTCACCACTTTAGAAAACAGTATTGTGACCGCCAGCCTGGGTTGGCTGAGGCTGCTCACAAGCTCGCCAGTGAAACTGTTTAAATTCGCGCCTCTAAATAATCAGCGCGGTTCACCAAACGTCCAGAACCAAGCGACGATGGTAAGTGTGATCAATCGCTCTTAGCGACTTGTCAATGCGGGGACGTTAGGGCGAGAGAAAGGGAAGGGAATGCAGTAAGTAGAAAATTCGTCTTCATTTCTTTCCGACGTCAGCCGAAGAGAGGTCCCAGGAGTTCACGTTCATAGTTTCACGATACTAGTACTGGATTTGGAGATTCTGCGAATGTGCGAAGACGAGAAAATCTCAATAAGAGGTAATTGATCTTAGGATTACATTGAAGTAGAACATTAATGTATGCAAATATAAGTATCGTAAAAATGGATGACAATAACGTAAAAAATCGACCGTTCTAACTCACAGGTACTTATTTTCAGCTTTTTAGTGCTCGATGGCTTGAGTACATTGAATGTGTTTACGGATTGAGGGAATGCAAAATGCCTTATGGGATTTCTTTTATAAGTAAAAAAACTTTAATAAAAAGATTTTAGTGAGGCCAAACTATGTTTAATTTTAAGGTAATATTATGTTAAAAAAGAATTGTCATTTTGAACAGAGATACAGTGGCTATCAAAATAGGTAACAATAAGAAAAATATAATGAGATATTGTCTAATTTTAAAACAAATGGAAAATTGACATAAATTAATTTCGCAGCTTACACTTAATGTATTATTTTTGAGTTTAAAGATTAGTGTAAGGATATTTCCTAACAAAATTCAATCCTCACCATCCGAATACTCGTGATGGCAGTATTTTCTAGCCCACGAGAAAAGAACAGTACTCTGAGATAATGTAAGTATGGAGATGCCCAGAACTTTAACAAAAATTAGAGCAAGCCACTCCATTAAATTAAATTGAAGGAAATTATAGTCTCCACGCAAACATTTTTTTTCAACTAGAAAAGGCTTGCTGAATACTAATTGAACGTATCTTTATTAATCATAATAAACCAGAAAATTTAGAATCGACTCCAGCGGACTTTTGCTTTGTTTCAAATCACATATAATCAAACTTGTCAGAATAGGGCACCCCAAAACTTTAAATGAAGCAATAATTGGGACCCCGTGATGTCAAATAACAAATTTGGAAAACATCTCCGCGTCCTGACAATAAAATATGTCATTCAAACTTTACACTAGTCGATTCGTGGCAATAAACAAATCGCTTGTAAAAGGGGACTTTAAAGTGTGTTCAGTTAGACCAAACAAAATTGCTTTTGGGAGACCCTTGTAACGAGTCCGAAGTAATTGGACCTGCCCGGCTGGCGGTAGCTACGCCAATGACGAACCAACATTACACTTCGATTAAAACAGAAAGTCCTTTCATGGCCACAACCTGAAAGGAGAGATCAACCATCAAATTGAGAGCTTCTATACCATACATTTAAGTCATAACGAATCTCGCAATTGGATAATAGTGTTCTGCCAGCTCGCTTGTGACGTCAAAGGAATTCCCGTTTTCATGGAAGTTTACTGTTCGGTATATTTACGGAGAGGGAGTACCATACTAAATTTACTACTAGAAAATGATAGAATGGAAAATTATTATATTTCTGCGAACTAAAGATACGGTCTTTGTCATTATTTTGACATTTTTAATTGATTTACAAACAATTGGTTTGCTTCAAGTAAAAATGTTGCCCTAATTCAGCATTTTTGCATGAACATTGTACTTTATATTCTTTACAATTGCAAAAATTTTATATAAAAATGTCAATTTATTACACTAATAGTTTAAATAATGTATCCTGTAAATTTTAGAAAATTGTAAATAATAGTTTCTGAGAAAATGTACATTAATTACAAAATACGTACATTTTCGGCAATCGCCATTTAATTTTTTTTTTCAAACAAAATGCGCAAAGTCGCATACTCATTCTCTTCTGTACATGCCCAATGCACTCGAGTTTTACATTATTTTTGTAACCATATGATTTCATTTCTAGGTCCTTCAGTAGTTCATTTTCTAATGACTTACTATCTACATCTCCCAAATATTCTGTGTACATTACACCATGCTTTTAAAATGATCTGGCAATTATAGATGTTACACCACACACCTCCATCCCCCCACCAGTTCGCTTTACATTTATCTCCTTTCCTGTGTTCCTCCATTTTTGGAGTATTTTGGGTTAGTGCAACCAAACTAAAAGGCGCAGTGCGTAGCTCGCTGACTTCGCAATCGGGAGGTCCGGGTTAGATTCCCCGGACCGGCCATCCTGACAGAGGTTTTTCGTGGTTTCTGTCGATTATAAGGCGAATGCTGGGATGGTTAAAAAATGTCACAATAACCTCCCACCTAGTCATCTTAATCCTTTCACCCCACCCCCCCAAGATCACCCTGTCGCTTCATTCAGCATTCCCTGCAAAAGGCAGGAGATCCTTGCCCTTAATGGGATATTAGATGGATGATGTTAATAATAATAATAATAATAATAATAATAATAATAATAATAATAATAATAATAATAATAATAACAACGAGAATGATAATGTTAGTACATGCAAGACTGAATTTTGAAAATGCTTCAACATCTAATTTTCTTTCAGTGTCAACAGATGTAGCAGACACAAGACCATTCAAGCTTGCGTGGCCCCGTTTCTGCCAGCTTCCATCTAGGGCAACTAGTAAATCTACTGGCCCTTTATTTTATTAAATGGCTTCTTTTGCTGCATTTGACATAGCTTCTTCCCCACACTCCTCAGAGTATCGTGCATAATTTTAATGAGTTGAATGTAAATGAATTGAATTTCGGATTAAAGTAGAGAACACGGTACGCTCTTAAAGAAGCATGGCGGTGGCGAGGGTAGAGGGAAGGGTATGGAAGGTGGAGGTG